TCCCCTGTCGGTGGCCAGGGGGGGAACCTGGCGACCCTAAAGTGCTGCCAGGCCTAGGCTTGGCAACCTCTAAGTGGGGCCTGAAGGAAACCCCCCCAGGCTTACAACTGAACTCAAGGCAGCAGAGATCTGTCTCCCTGGAGAAAATGGCTGCTTTAGAAGGTGGACTCTGTGGCATTATACACAGCTGAGGTCTTTCCCTTCCCCAATCCCACCTCAAAACCTCTAGGGACTCCCCAGGCCAGGCCCCAAGGCTCCCTCCTTCCCTGAAAGGCCAAAGGAGGCCTGGAAAGGGCCCTTTCCCCATGACTCACAGAACCGGTTAGAAGCCTCTTCCCCCCCCACCCCGAACGTTCTAACCTCTCTCTCACAGTTGATGTCTGAAGCAGATCCCTGCAGAGGCCATTTCAAAAGGTTTTGGGGGGAATTCAGCCGTCCCTGAAGGGTTTTTTCTAGTTTTTGGATTTTTCTGCAGGCACTGGTAGACTACTGAATATGTAAGAAAACCTGCTGGGCCAGAGGGAGCTTCCTGTTACTGGAAATAAGCATCCGCACATGGCGCCCTCTGTTGGAAATTAGAATATAAGATAATTCTGTTTGGAGTTTTGGACTTTTAGTGCAGTCCTAACTTAACCACCCAGAAGCCCTCTCTGTATACATATGGGTCCTTTTGCATTGTATAAGCATATACTATATTGTGCATGTATATAATAAACAAGTTACAGCGGACTGAAATCACCTTAACTGACGAAAGAATCTTCTGAAAAGTACAGTGAGCTTCTTCACATTCCCTGTGCACGAATTATGGTCTGCTGGTTGGCACCTAGTAGTTGACAACATAAGGTGACCTGCTTGTTGTCTACTAGGAACCATTTCTCCCTCTCCATCTTGTGGAATAAGCTCCCTATGTGGAGACGGAGGGCGTGCTGTCCTTTGAAGTTATTTTCAGAGGCAATGTAAGGCCATTTTATTTGTGAGGGTTATTGGTGAGAGAGGTAAATGGGGTTTTACTATATTTTGTATGTTTTTAATTTTTGGAATTTTAAGCTACCTTGAGCCACAAGGGAAAAGCAGGGACTAAAAATTTGATTAACTCAATAAATAACTTACAATTTCAAGTGGACAGCTGTTCCAAAATTCTTCTCTCTCTCTCTCTCTCTCTCTCTCTGTTTCTCTTGGTAAGCAGCAAGCAGTTTTGCATGAATAGCTACTATTAACCTATGTTGTTCTAATTCAATGTATGTATATACATATATATTTTTCCTTTTTTTACAGGTGCATTCTGCTTCCCCTTCTGGGTGCCAAGCCTCCCCCGCACAGTCTCTTCCTCCTTATAGATTCAGTGGATGAGGGCTGTAACATTGCAGAAGGTGACCAGACATCTGCAAGCCTATCTGGAACCATTGCCGAGCTTCTAGCTAGTCACTATGAGTTTTTTCCTCCATGGCTGCTGCTCCTGTGTTCTGCCCGGAAACAGAGCAAAGCTGTTACAAAAATGTTTACTGGTGAGTACAGATTACAATGAAATGTTAGCTGTTCAATTTCTATCTTGGACTGTCTAGAAAGTTTAGCAAGAAGTAAGGAAAAAATTATTCTCTAGCATATAAATTTTATGCCCTTTACATAGAGAGCATAGGGTTGCCAGGTCTGGGTTGGAAAATGCCTGAATACTTTGAGGGTGGAGCCAGGAGAGGGTGGGGTTTGAGGAAGGGAGAGGCCTCAGCATGGTACAATGCTAAATAGAGTCCTCCCTTCAAAACAGCCATTTTCTCCAGTGGAGCTGTTCTCTAAAAGCTGGAGATCAGTTGCAAAAGTGGGAGATCCCCAGGCCCCACCTGGAGGCTGGCAACTCTAAGACAGCATATTGTATACAGGTAACTAGAGGCATCTGTATAACATAGGTAACAGCTGGATGCTGGTGTGTGCAGTCTCCCACCAGTGACCTTGAAAGGATATCTATGGCATGATTACAGGGAAGAATTAATTCCTCTACATCCTGGCATACATTCAAACAAATCTCCCTGTGTGGGTTTCTTTTTCTTTCCCCACCATCTGAAAATCTAGATTTATCACCTTGTTTTCTTGGAAAAGATACTACGTTTTGCAAGCTCATTGCAAGGGTGTAACTTTATTTGGTCCTGGGAGTATTCTGTTGGCAAAGACTGTCAAGAATCTTCCACAACTTGTTGATCCAGTCTTTGCCGAATTGTGAGATCATTTCATCACTCTGCTCCTTTTGTTCCTGAGAGTTTTTTTCTTCAGTGTAGAGTAGCATAAAGAGTGGATTCCCAGCATGTGCCTGCATTAAATGATTGAAGCAAAAATGCAGAATAAAAGGTGCAATAGATGAACATATATGTAGCCTAAAATCTCCCACGTTTCATAACTCTTCATTTTTGTAGTCTCTTCCTTGGTCTCTATTGCACATAACTGCCATTTTTCTGAGATCCTTTGTTGAGTGAGGCCTGGGCATAAAACTGGAATTCATGGACAACTTTTGTTAGATGTAACTGTTGTCTGTTCCTGAAAGTCATAAGTCTGGGTCTTTTGTATTTGCTCCTCAATACACATAAACAATGATCATAAAAAGATTAGGTCTGTACTTGGATGTAATTTTCAAGGACCAAACATGTAAAAATGCTAGGGTTTCCAAATGTTTTTTACCTGGCGGCAGGCGGCTCCTGCCCGGCGTCCTGAGTGCGTATGTGCGCGCGCGTCGCTTGGATGTGACATCATGACGCCGGGCATGCTGGGGGCGGGGCCACGGGTGACGTGCACGTGGGGGTGGGGTTTCCCCCGGGGCCCGATTCCGTGGGGGCGGAAATTGGGCCTCCGAAGCGGGGGGGTTTGCCCCCCGGGGGGACTTGGCAACCCTAAAAAATGCATAAGCCTACTTCAGATTTGGTATGGCATGCGTTCTGACCATTGCTAAGAGCTTCACTTTTTAGTGTAAGCAACTACTATTCTGTATTAATATTTTCTGTTAAAACATTCTTTTTGTGATAAGTCAGTGTGTTATAATTTTCTTACATTAGTATGTTTTATTAATTTCAGGACTCATACACAATATGTTGGGCCTGAAAAAAGATATTTTATATTTTATATTGATATTGTTATGATTTTACGTGTGTGTTAGTACAATTTTGACCACTGAAGAAGGCCCTTTGGGCCAAAACACATTGGGTCCTTTGGTTCATATACATGTGTGGCCATTATTGTGATTCTTTGTCATTGGACGTTCAACTTCACCTTGTTGCTGTATATTATGGTCTGGGTTTTTAATGGTATCCTATGTATATCTTTTTAAATCCTAAGATTCTGTGCACTGGGTAATAAATATTTGCCCTTTATTTAATTTTCTAGTAGCTCAACCTTTTGGTTCCTGAAGTAAAATGATAACCCATTTTCTTAAAGCTAACACTAGCCTGACTTAATTCACAGCACAGAGGCAGAAGTTCCAAACCAGAGTTATCTATGATAGGTCTGTGTTTGCTGTTTACAGCTGCTACACCAGTTTGATGTACTGGTTAAGATTGGTGGAGTCTAATCTAGAGAACCATGTTTGATTCCCTGCTCCTCCACATGCAGCCCCATTGGTTGACCTTGTATCAGTCACAGTCCTCTCAGAACTCTCTCAACCCCACCTACCTCACAGGCTGTCTATTGTGGGGAGAGGAAGGGATGGAGACTGTAAGCTGCTTTGAGACTCTGAGTGAAGGGCAGAGTGTAAATCCAACTCTCCTTCTTCCTCCTCCTCCTCCTTCATTGTATCAAAGTAAATCACATTCCCAGTGTTCAGGCAGTGCTTTGTGATGGTGGCGGTGAGAGTTCTGAAAAACCCACATGTGAATTAAGTGGACTAATTGCCCAAATGCACAGAGGAGGAAAAAACATGTACTCCTGGGTACTCCAGTGGAGTTGTAGCACTTCTGCACAGAGGAGGAAAAAACATGTACTCCAGTGGAGTTGTAGCACTTCTAGAACTCAAAAACAGTAGTGACTGCAAACACAAGAAATATTGCTTCACAATGTTCCTCTGAGATGCATTGCAATTCAGAATGAAGACGTAGTATACGTTAACATTTCTATAGTAATGATTAATAACGTTGGGCCTGGTGAAGCCACAGTTAGGCATCGTAAAGACCCACCCTTTTACTTGTATGTCCCATCAGTATGATTCATAAGTATTTATTTTTGGCTGGATTTCCCCCATTTGTTGAATAATTGTCTTCCAGTACATTTTATGATTTAAGTATGAGAATCTACATTTGGCACCTGTTGCATTTTGTAATGTTCCTTCAGATAAGCATTTAGAAATGCATATTGTCCTTGTCTGTGTTCAGAATAATTATATGTTGTTCAAGAAGGCAGGAAAACACCACCTATGCCACAAACCTGAGTATCTCCAGTAATCATCTGATTCTAACATACCTGAAGCTATTTTCTCATAGTACTAGTACATATCAAGCACTGGGTCCTTTTCACTGATTTTCCAACACATTTTTAACAGTCAAATTAATTTTTATATCTTTTTAAGAGAAGTGTTTCTGAAATTAATGCTTCTTTTGATTTTGCAAAATAAATGTAAAAGTACATTTAGTTATTTCTGTGCTAATTTTATTCAAGGCCACATTAATTGATGTATAGACAGATTTTAAAGTCTGTTACATATTATAGAATTGTAAGCAATTTACAGTAATTCTTTTTAGCAGTTCAAATTATGAGACAATATACCAATAACACAGTTAGCAGAATATGGAAAAGAAAGACCCAGCATTTTGCTAGAGGATTTGGTATAGTGTCATGCACAGCTATTCTGAGAGCCTGCTCACACTATGAGGCAGCTGTGTGGAGCATTAAGTGATTGACTGTGCAATCCTAGTAACACTTTCCTGGTAGTAAGCCCCATTGAATAGACCTGAGTAGGATTCCAAGTAGACATTCTTAGAGTGGCACAGTTAACCAACTGATTTATAGGGGCCTTCCTAAAAAAAAAACTAGCACACAGGTGTATCCTGTGGGTTGTTTCAGGCAAAGATATGGTGTGGATGCAAACTTGGGATATAAAAGGGGTGTTCCTGTTGAAAGGGAGTATTGCCGGACAAGTGAATGCTTGTATACCCACATGAATTCCTGGGTAAGGTGGTAGAGAGGGCAGTAGCAACACAACTTCAGGTGTTCTTGGATGAGGCTAAGGTCCTAGATCCCTTCCAGTCTGGTTTTTGCCCTGCCCATGGGACAGAGATGGTGCTGGTCACCCTGGTGGATGATCTCTAGAGACATTTGGATCAAGGCAGTTCAATGCTGCTGATTCTTCTCAATCTATTGGCAGCGTTCGATATGGTTGACCATGAGGTGTTAACCTGCAGCTTTGCCGACACTGGGATACGGGGGCTTGCCTTGCACTGGCTAACCTCCTTCCTTCAGGATTGAGGACAGAGGGTGGCACTTGGGGGGAAGTTATCCCAGTGGCACCCACTAGAATGTGGTGTTCCGCAGGGAGCGATCCTCTCCCCCATGCTGTTTAATATCTCGCTCAGATTATCCAGAGATATGGGCTGGGTTGTCACCAGTATGCGGATGACACCCAGCTCTATCTACTGATGGACGGCGGCCCGGAAACGGCCCCAGGACATCTTGAAGTGGCGTTACAGGCTGTGACTGGATGGTTACGACAGAGCCGACTGAAGTTAAATCCATCTAAGATGGAGGTCCTGTACCTGAGTTGTGGGCGATTGGGTCAGGGGATCAGACTCCAAACCTTTGATGGGGCTCCATTGGTGCCTATGTTGAGTGTGAAGAGTCTGGGGGTGTTCCTGGATAACTCCCTCTCTGTGGAGGCCCAGGTCACCACCACTACCAGGTCTGCCTTTTTCTGTCTGAGGCAGATCAGACAGCCCTGTATCTTACTCCCTGAGACTTAGCTACAGTGACCCATGCAATGGTCACTTCCAGACTGGATTATTGTAACTCTCTCTACGTGGGGCTGCCCTTGACTCTGCTCCGGAAGTTGCAGCTAGTGCAGAATGCGGCAGCACACGTGTTGACAGCGACACCTGTGTGGGCTTGTATCCACCCAATGCTGCGTGAACTGCACTGGCTGCCTATTGAATTCCGAATCCATTTCAAGGTGCTGGTGCTTACCTTTAAAGCCCTATACGGCCAGGGGCTGGCATACCTATGAGACCACCTCTCCCCATATGAGCCCCGGAGGGCACTGAAATCCACAAATCAACATCTGTTAGTAGTTCCCGGACCCAGGGACATCTGGCTAACCTTGACCAGGGCTTTTTTCAGCCCTGGCCCCTGCCTGGTGGAATGAGCTCCCGTGTGAGATCAAGACCCTGCTGGATCTATTGCAGTTCTGCAGGGCCTGCAAGATGGAGCTCTTCCACTGGCATTTGGTTGAGGCAGCGGACATCCCCCTCTGGTCCTAGGGGTTGTTTTTTTTTTTGTCCAGCTTTTTCCGGCCAAATTGTCCACCAGTGGCCTGACTCTGACTGGT